ATAGCAGGCACGAATCGCAACAATTTAATCGTCTCTTTCTGTGGTTGATATTTACACTTTGGCCCCTTCTGTTTCATTTACTCCAGGAAATAGACGGAATAGGCATGGCGTCTGCCTTCACAATCGCCTCACTTTTGACCCAGGACAAGTTGGGCATTTCAGTAGAAAAAATTTCTGAAGAATTTCCAAGTGAAGAAGAGGAACTGGAAGAAGAGGACGAATACGGAGAAGAGGATGAAGAGGAACTGAAGGAAGGCAGAAAGTCGAGACCAGCCGGCTCGAATGTACGAAAGAGCAGTCACGAGGACCGGTTACCATTTGCCCTATTTCCGCGTCACCCGGCAACCCTGACCGGATACACTGTACCTCGACTTTCGATAAGTCTGCTCAAAAGAATGATTTCAACTGAACTTCCATCTGGACAGTTGATTTGCTCGGATCCACTGCCACAGGAACTTTTGGCTGACCCGGAAGGGGAAGGTGAGGAATACGCCGAAGCCGCCCACTTGTCAACCTTCGACGAGAACTTTAAGTTGGAAGTCCTTGAGACTCTCCAAGGCTCCGTCATGCATGCAGGGACAATCAGACCTTTAGAGAAGAACATGGCACCCGAGAGGGAATTGAGAAAGTCTGTGACAAACCGTCCATGCAGCCGCGAGGAGAAACTGAAGAAGAACGAGGAGGCTGGGCAAGATGAAAAGCTATTCCTGCTTGGCTCGTCACGAGACAACATAGACCTGGATGATGTGAGAGCTGGTTCTGCGACATCGTGTACACGAGTAAGGTATGAGTCTCAACCTCAATCACACCAAATGCCTGTCTGTCACGACGAGACTGCAGCACCATCACAGTTTGCGGCAGCATCTTCGATGTGGCCAATTCGGGAGGATGGGTCCATTGCCTCCTGGTACCGTTGCGATGCGACCGCCCTCAATGAAGCCGAGATGGTCGAGGCTTTACCCTTTACAAAGCCGCAATGTGATTGGCTCGATTTATTGCGCAAAGAAAGACTGTTGTGTAAGTTGTGATTTGTACTTTCACTATCCTAAACACATAGTACCACTGAGGAGGATATAAGAGCCATGCGAGTTATTTAAAACATGTAAATGTAATTTGTACTCAATCGTCTGTCTCGCAGTTACATGTCTCCAAATGTCTCGAGCTGGCCTATTCCTTTTTCTTATATACACTTTTGGCTGTTCCTTAGGAAATTCAGCTTTTTATCTGAGCGAGACCTTTGGCAAAGACCAGCTTCTTT